CGCCAAGCCTCTCAAGAATCACGACCAGAGATCTTAGTTGGTTCTCCTTATATAGCTCCTACACGGACAACGCAGAAAATATCACTATAAAAATTCTTGTTGTTCCGTGGTTGTTACTGCGGAATCCTGTTTACCGTTCCGTTGTCTAGCAATGAAAGTTTTTTGCGCCACTCATGTCACATTATTATTCAGAATGGAAATAAGTTTACAACATTGCTTTAAAGTAAAGCGTCTTATAAATCCAGTAAATTGTGCTTAAATTTGTTTGAAAATGTGGTCAGTATGTGAAAGTAAACAACAAACACCCTCTTCATATTAAGCAATTGTAAACTTTAACTCGAGTTTTAACATTTTGCTACGAGCGAGTGAATGGGCGGATATACGTATACGGTTGACATTCACTCCAATTAAAATTTAGGTATAAAATGAACGTTTCATATTTCTCTGTATCTTGTGTTCGACACATTCCACTCAGATAAAAACTCTCGGAGAGTTATGTCTTGAAACGAGTACCTATACACACCCCAGACAGATAGGCCACCGCGATTTTCCAACAAGTTGATTTCGGAGAGCGACAACGTGTGTTTGTCTGGTAACAAGACGGTACTAAGTCCGAATCGCAGGCAGATCGTCGGTTGTTTCAAATGAAATTTGCTATGACTTCCTTCAGCGCCTCCAAGAGAAAGCTGTAACCTATTGTAGATTACGAACACTTACTTTTCCATTATTTCCAGATCAGCTTACATAATCATACTATCATTTCGTTATGCTTTTCCTTTACAGTTGTCACGGCGTCGTTAAATAACCTGAGATCCAATTACAGTACTCAATCTTTCAAGGATCAGGCACCTTCCCGCTTCTAATCAGTGTCCAATTACAAGACTAATTCTTCCTATTCTGCGTGTCTGTAAGCAGTTGTGACCGTTATGACTGGTAGTTGTTGCGGGTAGGACAAGAAGATGGCTGCAAACGATTGCTATCCAGTCGCTATATACGAGGTATATACGAGTATGTCAGTTATGAGTTGATAGCAGAAGATGGAAGAAATAGAAGCAGTAGTTACGAATAGAAATAGAAGATGGTATTATTAAACGGCACTGTGAGTTCTGATTGGATATCCGATATCGCGATTAGTTCAATGTCTTTGTATAATCCCTACACATAAATAACAAAGTTTGTACATTTGCTACAAAATTGGTTTAGACAAGTTTCATTCAGGTAAGGAATTTTTGAAGGAGTTTAATTTTACTAGTATAGAGGGAAAATATTCCACGTGAACATAAATTATTTTCTAAATAAATATTTTCCATCAATAGACAAGCGCGCTTCGTACTAGTTGTTCTTATAGAACCAATTTTATGAAGCTCCGAGAATGGGACAGCCACCCATTGCACGATTTTAGTATATTCAGACTGTTTATTTAGGATTTTGTAACGCAAAGGAAAAGTAGCTCAGTGGAAGAGCTCTTGGTCTGCATTCACGAGGTACTTGGTTTCAAATTCCGACGACGGATTCGTCGTGACGAATTTCTTGCTGCGTAGGTCACGTGTTAAAGACTACACACGGTGTTTGGATTGATAATTTGATTTATTGAATGCTTCTAACTCGTACCTTCAAATAATTACAACAGATAATTTACACATTTACACACCATCACACCATACAAATCACTTGAGGCCACACTAAATATTCTCAGTCTGTTACGTCTTCATTAGTCGTTGCTAGGCAGCGGCTTCTAACGATTGAGATTCCTCTACTTCATTCGAAGCGCGGGGCTTCTGAGGGAATAATTAAAAAGGGGCAAGCACAATAGACCACTGAGGTCGCGGTGCAAGGGCCGAGAAGGCCTAACCCTCATACATTCATTCATTCCTCTACTTACATACTCACGTCTAAACTCCAGCTATGAGTGATTGCTCAAGACTAACTTTGTCGGTCGGGTAAATTGCAGTTGGCCCTCGCCAGCAAGGTCATTCTTGGTTCCAAATACCGTGGCACTCATGACCATATGTTGCTGTCTACTGACTGCCCATTCATCATCTTTATATAACCTAGGCAGGAAAGTACAGATAACACAGCTTCGGCGGTTAATCTATTGTGAGTGAATTCGTTGCCGCGGAAATTTGTTTACCGAGCTGTTGCTTAGCAACGGTCATCATTTCTGGCTCCAGTATTCCCGCCTTCAGCCGTCATTTTGTAGTATTAAATAGGCCTGTGTTCAATTTTTGGCTCGGATGCCAGCTTTCCCAAGACTTCTTCTTGCTTTCCCAGCTCTCCAAGTGCTGTGACAATAATATGGGCCGCGGCCTCTTCCCATGACTGTCCCAATTCGTCGCTATCATTCACCTTTCATTCGATGCTATATACCCAGTTCAACTGAGATTGTCATACGTTGATTCAAATCCGTTGCAGTTTCGGAGATTGCGCATGCGTAAACGGGGAACATGTATCCGAAGGCGCTGTAGCGGAGTTGGTTGAGTCACTTTGTTACAAGCCGGAAGGTCGCAGATTTGATTCCCGATTAGGTCATTTTATTTTTGCCTTGAACTAATCCTTCCAACCGCACTATGTCCCTGAGAGTCGACTCAGCCTCTAACAGAAATGAGTATAAAGGGGCCCATACACGTACGAGTCTGGCTCGCGAGTCCGACTTGGCTCGGGTTCCAATGAGCCAAACTCGTCCGTGTGTGGGTCGCAAAGTTGGGAGTCAGCTAATGCGTTTGTGATGAAATTAATCCGAGCCCGACACCCGAGTCATGCTCGCTGAGCCGAACTCTCGAGCCAGACTCGTACGTGTATGGGACCCTTAAGGAATCTTCCTGGGGACAAAGGGTGGCCGGCCGACGCGTAAGGCTGACAACCTTACCGCTATCTGTGAGCCGATTATCTAGAAAATGTAGGAGCTTCGACGTATCACAAACATATGGGCCTCCACGGTCTGTTAGAGGACAGATTTACCTTCATGTTTCCGAAAGATGTGATAAAAGGCCACTAAAAATAGAGTCTCCATGATGTAATGCCATGTAGTCCAGAAGAAATTCTCCATCGTTTCAGAGAAACACCCTTCCTTCACCTTCATGGTCGTAGAGTATGCCGATTGCATTTTGATGGTTAACTCCGAAACTCCGTGATTTTAGTCCGCAAGTGAACTATGCCGACCGAACGACCGTCGCTTGTCGGCGAAGTTTAGTGCCAACTTTTGTGGATAGAGGGTGTCGCGTGATCAGCGCAACGAATCTCCACGGCCGTTAGTTTTGGTTTTATAGACCGGAGCAGCTATTTCCTTGAAATAGCTCCTCAATTATCATCACAAGGCTGAGTGGACCCCGTTCCAGACCCACTACTTCTCAGAAAAAATCTGGTAGTACCGGGAATCGAACTTGGACCTCTGGATCTGTAGCCAGGAACGCTGACCACTAGATCACAGAGGTGGTGTTTGATGGTTAACACGTAGGGTTATTCTTCTCTTCACTTCTTCCATACATCCAATAAGATTGTATTCTCCATAGCCAACGACGTGAAAACCCCAGTTCCATTAAATTGGACAGGCTTGAAGCACAGGGAAAGATGATGTTCAGCATCTTCGCTTGTCAGACGAGGCTGTCTTCATTGTGTCGACCCCACAGAGCGCATTTATCAGCTGTTCGCAACATACAGGTCTGCTGCACTAAATTTAAACTCACTACATCAGAAACAAGATTCTCTTATGCCTCAGGTTACTATTACAAATGAATGCTGAGGCAATATTTAAGGCTTCCCGCATATACTCGTGAAAATTTAAAAATAAAAACATTTTATTTTATCCACGTTTTGTATGTAAGTAAATTATGGTCTCTCACACTAAGAAAGGAATGTGGAATGAAGCATTGGAAAACTGTTAACAAGAATATTTCGGCCTGGGGGAGAGAAGGCAAATGAGAAGCAACCGAAAAAAAAAAATATTCATAGAATTTCATAATTTACACTCTCCCGCAAATGTTATTATGATGTTTAGGTAATTAAGAATAAGACGGACCGTGCATGTAGCTCGCATGGGAGAGATTTTTAAATACATTCAAAATTTTGCTCGATGATCTGACATAAGATGGCTTGGAATATTTATGTGTAGGTAAAAGTAAAGCTCTCCCTGTATCAAGCCGTGGAGTAGTGGCACCCATGTTTTCTATACGATCGGCTGACAGATGGCGGTGAAGTTGTCAGCCTTACATGCCGGGAGCACTTTACCTCCAGGAAGATTTATCTTGTTCATTTCACTCTGAGTCGACCCTAGAAATATAGCGAGGCTGGAAAGATTATATCAAATAAAAAATCCAATAACCTCATCCGGAATCGAACCTGCGACCTTCCGGCTTTTAGCATAGTGTCTCACCCAACTATGCTACTGCGTGCCCCCACGTCGGTGTAGACGGGAGGCAATATTAAAAGGGATCTTAAATAAATAGGGTTGTAGGTTTTGAGTGTTTATATCTGCTTCAGAATAAGGGCCAGTGATGGGCTTCTGTTGACACGGTGATAAATCTTTAAGTTTAATACAAGACGGGTAGTATTTTGACTAGCTATTTGTGTATTAGCTTCAAAAGAAGGGAATGAATTCTGGAATTATATCTCAATTAGCTTCTGCTTTTCCTACAGTGTAGTATTTTTTATTTAATGATCATCAAATATATTCGCCGTCATGCCCATTAGCAAATCAGAAAACTACTGTAACGTTAAGTAATGCAAATTAAGTTACACACTACTTTAAAAACATAATTTACGTTGCAGTATTGTTAGCCACAGTCTCACAAAAAAAGAAAATAACGTGAATTAACATAACACAGAAGTACAAAACACGCACTACCTCGCTACACTGTCAGTCGGGGTTATTTCTTGATCAGATGCGTGAACCATAACACTGTAGTGATTTATCACAACTTCAAAGAGAGTAAATTACGGGGCTTATAACTTTAATAACAGCTATGGAAAGGAAATAGATCTATTATTGCGTAGGAATCGCTTACCTTTACAGACATCTTGGCTTATTGTTGCTATCTTATCAACACTTCGATTACAAATTGAAAGGGGGGCTCTATTAATTGGTTTCCACTTTTAAAACACTATAATCCATTTATTATATTATGGATTACCAATAAATTCACGCGGTATTTCATGTTTTGTTCCATACACACGTAACACTGACTATATGTTCAATAGACACTAATTCTAATCTGTTGTAGAGACATCGCCCAAACTGTGTTTGGTGCCATTTTCGGACCGTGCACGCGCTCCTGGATGCGTACAGTAAGGCTGGCCTTCAGTTACCGTGCCGCACAATCCCTTCTGCCCCCACCGGGATGGGTATCCAAAACCTAGCCCCATATGATCGTATTGATCCGAAAGGTACCCCTACTTCCCCTCTTTCCTTCCCCTATTCCAGCCTGCAACTTTACCACGTGAATAAGGCGCTTCTAGTTGTCTACTATAATCTTAGCATGACAGGAAGTTGAAATCTAACATGCCTAAAGCAGATTTTTACCTTATAATGTCTACTTCGCCTGTATATAGGCAATATCAAAACAGAACGTGTTTTAAAATTTCCCGAAAGTACAAGGTGCAAAAGATTTATGTGCTTATATATTATATCATACAGGGAACACGTAAAAATTATACAGAGCGAAGTTCGATTCTACTATAGTCAGATTACATCAATGACTACAATAGAAGATAAACACAGCAAAGGAATGAATAAACAGGAGCAGAGACTGCGGTTTTTAGCTCATACGGCCACAGCTCTCCTTCTAAACAACTAGTCAGTTTCACAACAGATGGCAGGAGCGATTGGCCGGCGGTTCTTGAAACAAGTTAACATAATTGACGATAGATTACACCCAAAACTCTAATATGCGTAGTGCGTTTTCACTTGCGCAATACGATGGAAATACCAAATGATTTTTGGTATTGTTTATTAACTGGTATTAATGATGCTGTTTCAGCTGTAGATGTTTCCTGTTGAATGAAAAGTAAAAATTATGTAACACAACGATTTATGGGGGAATGGGATAGGTGTCGTCACCTATCCCGTTTCGTACGAACGAGGAGGAACACGACACAAGACACATTTCGATTAAAAATGTGGACCGCTGTCGAACTGGGAGTGTGTTATATCACATTCATGAGCTTCATGAGTGCACAGTTAATGCCTTCGATGAAAGATGTGTGAAAATGATGATGCGCTGGATTTGGTCAGGCTTATAAACGTTGAGTCATAAAGGACGGGAAGGAGGAGGTTTATCGTGTTTTAAGGCAGGCTTCCTGTTCTGACGTTCTGGAGAAATTGATGGCCTTGTGAATATAACATGTGCTTTACCGCTCATGTAACTCATGCAACAAGACAAATATCTACGCCTGCATATACATGCAATTCTGTAAGATTTGTGAACTGGAGGAACATGGACTGAGGGTGTTTGAGAACGGGTGTTGAGAATATATGGACTGAAGGGAGATGAAGTGACAGGAGGTTGGAGGAAACTGCATAATGAGGAGCTTCATAGCTTATACTGTTCTCCAAGTATAATTAGAATGATCAAGTCAAGGAGAATGAGGTGGGAAGGGCATGTAGCACGAATTGGGGAGAAGACGAATGCATATAGGACATTGGTGGGAAAGCCAGAATGAAAGAGACCACTAGGAAGACCAAGAGGTAGGTGGGTGGATAACATTAGAATGAATCTTAGAGAGATAGGATGGGGTGTTATGGACTGGATTGATTTGGCTCAGGATAGGAACCAGTGTAGGGCTCTTGTGGACATGGTAATGAATATTCAGGTTCCATAAATGCTTTGAATTTCCTGACTAGCTGCACAACTGGCGGTTTCTCAAGAAGGGCTCAACTCCATGAAGTTAGAGAGTTGTGAGCAGTACGGAAGCAGCTATAAGATTGTACTGCAATTACTCGAAAATTTGGTATCACCCTGATGCCGGGAAGAATAACAGTTTTGCACTACAAGTACGAAAGCTAATAAATGACGCGTTATGGTTTACTACAGTCATGGGAGAATGTATGTACGAGTAGGTCTGTCTGCCTTCCGTAATATGTAATCGAGCAGTAGGTCTGGAACGACACCAAAAGTGTTTTGTTTCAACTCCCTACATTCCTTCTATTTTGCTAATGCTAATAATATGTGGATAAGGATATGTGAAGTGTAATTCGTATTAGGTATTATGAAACTGAGGTTAAATTGCAAATACTTTGAAGATTGTTTTCCCTTCTTAAAACAAGCACCTCGAAAATATCCATATAGATCAATTTAGCAGAGCCGTGTCGGTAAACCGTAATTTCAGACCAACAGTAATCTAAGTGGACTTTTGACATCAATATATTACGATGCAAATATGCAGAATTCTCATTATTACGTGCCATATTTCACAGGAGTATTTCTGGACATTCAAATCAGTAAAAATATAATACAAATATGCGCTCTGAGGGCCTAACAGAAATGAGTACCAGGAATCTTCCTGGAGGCTAAAGGGTGGCCGGTGCGTAAGGCTGACAACCTCACCGACATCTGTGAGCCGACTGTCTAGATAATGTGGAAGCCTTGACGTCTCACAACCCTATGGGGCCTTCACGGCCTGTTACAGGGATAGTTTCACATTACCTTTACCTTTATTCTTAGGGCCTTCCCTAAAAGGTCACAGGGTTTCTAATTTCAACTTCCACGGTCACGCCTTAAATATTTCTGACATCAACGAGTTGTATATAATAATAAAATAAACAGGGAGCTATTAATATATATTTTTATTACTCTCTTGCAAGAGGTGTTTCAAATGGCTTTCATGTCCATGGACACGCAATTCAGTTTTGCGTGAAAAAGAAACTTTCAAGCGGTTCCAAGATTCCGCGTGTATTTTTTTGCCTCACCGGTAAATTATTTAATTCGACGCCATAATTTCTCTACAGTATCGACAGCGGTTTTAAAATATCCCCATAGGAAGATCGAGAGTATGCTGGACAAGAAACTGAAGCTTCACTTCCATAAACAATCCAGCGTCCAACATATTTTTCAGACAACCATTGATGCACCTAACTACTGTAATATGGTGCACTGCCGTTGTGCTGAAACCACATGCACAGGCGCAAAATGAAGGACACATCTTTCGGTAGTCCATTTTAGTGTATTTGAAGAAAATTAAGATAACTGGGGCCATAAACTCATGTGGATAAAAGTATGAAAGCCTATGAGGCAGTAACCTACAATTCCAGCACACACGATATTTGAAAACCAACGCTGCGAATGATGTGTTCGAATCGTATGAGCGTTTTCATTCGATCACGAGGATTCACAAATTCTTTGTGATTGCTCGTGATCCTCGTCATAGTGAAGCATGATTCATCGGCGAAGAAAACCTCTGCTGTAAATGTATGTTCCTCAGCCGACTGTTACAAAATTCATTGACACAACGTGCGTCTTGCAGATGCATCGTGTGGTACTAACTTCTGCCCAGACCGAAAATGATGCGATACGGTGCACAGAAACATGCGAGTTATCTGTGCGTCCAGCAAGGCGTCTGCTACTGCTGAAAGGCTGTCAACGACGGGAGGGATCTGTTCGTCCCTCCGAACATCTCAACACATTCCGAGAAATGTACCCATCTCTCGGAGTCAGCCATCAACAGAAAGGGAAATACGAGAATCTGGCACTCTCCATTAAAGGCATTATATTCTGTATCTTCTAACAGCATCTGTAGTAGTCCCCTGAACTCTCCCAGCACAAGATGCATGTCCGCTAATGCAAGAAATGAAATAGCCACTTCAAACGCTGTTTTATTTCCAATCAGCCTACAGCAACATAAGCTTGGGAAAGCACATTACGTGCTGATGCAATGTGGAAAGTGGCTATATATTTCCTGAATTAGGAGACATTGTACCGGTCACGGTAGCCGAGCGGTCTAAGGCATGAACTCTCTTCGCTCGCTCGGAAGCCGGGATCGTGGGTTCGAATCCTACACAAGGTATGGATGTTTAGTGTGTGTATGCGTTTATTCTATGTTTATATTGTCCTATGTTTAGGTAGAGTCCATGCGACGAGCTGATCACCTTCCAAGGAGTACTACCGTCTGTAAAACTGATCAGTGAAACTGAGAACTCAGCCCTGTGCCCCAAAAGCGGGAGCGAGAGGAAGAAAAACATCTTTTCTGTGGGTTACTTAAGGACGCCTTTTCCATACCGAGGGTCAGATGTTCGATGACAGATGAATGTCGAGTTGGACAGAATCTGAAAATAAGCGGCAGGGACCTCATCGACCTACTCTTCCTGCAGTCCCACCCGGAGGAATTGAGGAAACCCACGAGGATAGTTAGTGTCCCGGCTAAGATTCGAACCGAGCACCTCCAGAACACATTTCTAGAGGCTGTCTACAGACCGGCATGCATTGCGCTAGGAAAGTGCAACGGAAATGCTACAGATGCTCTTAGAAATACAGAGAAAAATTCCGTAAGCGGAGAGTACCAAATCGTGGTAATTTCATGCAGTTTGTGCAGGTAGCTCGCATGCTTCTGTACACCGTACATTATAGGATCGGCAGTTCTACAGGCATTGCAACAACAGAACAACATCCTTGTCGCATGCGGATTGCAAGCAGTAACTTTTCAAGAAAGGCCTTTAGGCTGGGGCCACACGAGCGCACAAAGTGCGTCCATTGTAACGAACGTGTAACGTCCGTTGTAGAAATAAACAAGAGAGGCGAATGCTACGCTTTCTTCTGGCTCCATTGCAGACAAGAAAACTATGCATTCTGCAACTATGTTGTGTCCTCAGCAACGTCCGTCATAAAGTACGTTCGTTGCAACGGACGTATTTCGTGCGCTCGTGTGGCCCCAGTCTTAGGTTACGTATTTGTATGAACTACCTTACTTATTTTGATGGCCAGAAATTCCCCTATAAAATATGACATGTTATGATGACACATTCTGTACACAGTTGCTTGCACTTGCATCACTACTACCAGAAGACACATCTGAGTAAATTCAGTCCGTATGCTGTGGTATGCTTCGTGTTAATTTCAAGGACTTTCTGCAACACTGTAACACAATCGACTCTGGCGTATATGCAGATCTAATGTCTTCAGTCAAGAATATAGTACTAGGAAATAAACAGGAATCTATGCCCACTTATCACCACATCGAATTCTATAAAAATATGGTTCCTTTCATCTTTGCAGACTACAGAATATGAACGTAGGAAATTTTTTAAACTGTCCGCCGAGACCTATGAACTTCACTGTTTTCGCC